AAAGGCAGAACTTGCAGGACTATCCCAACAAAGGCAGGAACTTGCAGAACTATCCCAACAAAGGCAGAACTTGCAGGACTATCCCGACAAAGGCAGGAACTTGCAAAACTATCCCAACAAAGGCAGAACTTGCAGAACTATCCCAATAAAGGCAGAACTTGCAAAACTATCCCAACAAAGGCAGGAACTTGCAGAACTGGCCTTTGACATGGCAATAGTTTTATTTCTTAAATATATGTTAGGCAGGAGGCCCTAGGGGAGCCGAAGGTGGGCGGGTGGATGTGCTCTGCTGTGTAACCGGCGCGACACTGTGCCCGGCAGGCAGAGGCTGGGAGCGGGATGGGTTATCCTGCCCGGAGAGCAAGGGAATCCACGGAGGCTGAACTCAGCTGGAAATAAATGACATGTCTTTGCTCTTCTCTCTGCCTGTGCCAGGGCCGAAGATGACGGGTGTGGAGTGCGTGGAGGGGATGGCTTCGGGTCTCTACGAAGAGCTCTTCGCTGCCGTCGTCTCGCTGATCAACAGGTACGGAGCTTGCCGGGTGCTGCGCTGAGGGCGTCCTTGGGCGATGGTTTCTTCTCCCGGGGCTGCAGAGAAGGAACCTTTGCTGGGGGCTGCCCAGAGGGAGGCATGGAGCATGAACAAAGCTATCTGAAATCTCCATCTGGGAGAGCACGCTGGCACTTGGGACCTTCCATGAGCCCGTGCGAGCTGGCACCAGGGACGAAGGGCCCAACAGAGCATCTGTTAGTACTAGATGTGACTTTGCATCCTGAAATCAAGGCTACTAGAAGAGGCAGAGCAATAATCCAGCTAGGAGACCCCACAGCCAGCCCTGCAGATGTGCGGTAGGAGTCGCTTCGTGGTGGAAGCTTGGTCGCAGGAGGGGGTGGGGATGTCAGGAGTGAGAGGCTCTGGCAGCGGAGGAGCTGCCGAGGGGCCCGGGGAGGCTGCGTCCGTGTCCCGCTGCTGGGTGCCGGTGCGGCCGAGCAGGCGGCACCTTCCTCTGCCCCGGGGGCTTGTCCTCACTGTGCCCATTTCTACCCGGAAAGGACATCCTCTGTTGGTGTAAATCTGAAATCATCTCTTTAGATAAATGGAATAATTTAACACTGGGGTAAGGATCAGGCCCCTGAACCCTTCCGCTGTCTCGGTTCTGATGCACAACCAGGTTTGTTGAAGTCAGCATCCGCATAAAAGCTGGTGCCCAGAAATGCCCCGTGTTGTCGCTGCAGGTTTATTTTAACCTGCAGCTGAGTGGTTTTATTGTCATTCCTAGCAACCACATTCCAAAGGGAAATTGCTGATGGTGCTCTAAGGGCCGGCAGAAGAGGGAAATGTTGCTGATGCTCCTGAATAACAGCATTAGCTCAGGGCGTGCTCCGGGTCCCCTCTTCCCTTTGAGGGCAGCCTTGCTTTGCCCACCTTGATTTTCTGCTCCAGCCCAGCAAAGCCAGTTAGGCCATCCCAGCCGTGCCCCGGGGAGGGGGCGTGTTTCAGAGCATCACCCAAATGCCATTTCCTCCGCGAGCTGATGGCAAAAGTGACTCTTTTCAACTCTGGTGGCAGGAGGGTGCTGCTGTGATTTTCTGCAAGCCCTAAAATACACTTTTGTTCCTTCATTCAACCCTGGGCTTTCACGGCACCCTTGGTGCCCTGCATCTCCTTTAATCCCGCCGAGCTGCCCTGCCGGCGGGGCTGCTGGGGAGGGGGCAGCACTGCCCTGGGCGACGCAGCACAACGCAACGGCTCTTTCAGAAATAGGCGTTGAAAACGGTCCCAGAGGTTTCTCAGGGTCAGCCTCCCCCGCCGTCCTGATCTGACACACTGGAAACGGCTGCGAGCAACATTTTAAGAAGCAAACCACACCTCTGTTTCTCCCAGAAAGCCCCTTGCTGTCTGCTTCACAGGCCAGGCGTGTTAGGGGCTACGGTTCCTGTTAGAGATTTGTTCAGGAGCAGAACGTCAGCAGTCCTTGAAAACCCCCGCAGCCGGCGCAGCGTGCCATGGCAGCCGCGGCCCCGGACGCTCCCGGTGTCCTCGGTGCCGGCGTCACGTGCCAGTTTAGCTGTTTTTCAAATCAACTGAGGACGATAGAATCGATTCTATTGCTTAGGGACAGGGTTTAGTGGTGGGGATGGCAGGGTTAGGTTAATGGTTGGACTTGATGATCTTAAAGGTCTTTTCCAACCTAAACGATTCTATGATTCTATGATAACTGGTCCATCAAACTTAACCCCTTTGGATGGATATGTGGTACTTTAAATAACAGGAGTGCCAGGATGGGGCCAAGTGTGGGAAGGGCAGCATCTCATCCCACGCCATCGTTAAGTGCTCATTAGGGCGGGTTGGGAGCAGCCCACGCCACATGTCTCCATCCAGGCTGGGGGGAGACACTGGCTTGAGCAGATCAAAGAAGAAGTGGGTGAAGCGTAAGGGGGAAGCAAAGGCGCCGTGCCAGGAGGTGGGGGCTGCCCCTGACTGGAGATACTGGGAGAAGGGGAGGCGGGAAGCGTGGGGCTGGCCCCTGCTGCATGGGAAGGTGCCCACCCGGGGCTGTGCGCCTTGGGGGGCAGGTGGCAGGGTCGCCTCTGAGGGCAGAGCTGAGACACGTCTGGGTAAAACCCTGCGGTATGTGTGGCTCTTTCCCCAGGTCTTTCTCCTCCCAGCACCTCTCCATGGCCTCCATCGCCGTGGTGGACACTCCGGGCTTCCACAACCCCCGGCACTGGCGGGGCGAGCGGGCGGCAACTTTTGAAGAGCTCTGCCACAACTACATGCACGAGCGGTTGCAGGCCCTTTTCTACGAGAAAACCTTTGTTTCGGAAATGGAGAGGTACAGAGAGGTGAGGAGCACCCCGGGGAGCCGCTTCCCAGCACCTGGGACGGGGCTGCCTGGGCCCCCATGGGTCCCTGTCCCCTGCCATGGTGTGAGACTCCAGCAGCTGTAACGGGAGGAGCGTTGCACAAATGAGGGGTCTGTACCCCGGTAGCCTTGAGCCGGGTCTCCCACCCCCCCCTGCTGCCCCGCTCATGGATCCTCTTGGGTGCTTCTGACGTGCTTCGAAATGCCAGGCTGTCCGGGCACCTCTTTGGGCAGGCTTGTTCCAGCTCAGGAGGCTTCCCAAGCTTCAGTTGGTGCAGCCAAGTTTTTCCTCAGGTGCTGAATAATAGCGAATAGACAAGAAAATGATAAATTATTGCAGAAAAAAGCTGCTGAAAAACCTACAAGCAGAGATGAACTTATTAGGCTTGCAGAAGTTACTTCAATACCTCCAGCCCTGGGAAAACAGTTGACTTCCCATGACTTAATATTCACACATCACTTGTGCCGAGCGAGTTTATACGCGCTCTTCACTAGCGATGGATAAGTTACTGGCTGAGCTCAAAACGGCAGCGGGCTCGGCAGGCTCGCCTCGCCGTGGCTTTGCTGCTGCCTACGGACGGCTGCCCCGGTGCAAGGCATTTCAGATGCTGGGGAGGGGTCTGGAGCCCCAGGCTGCTGGGGAGCGGCTGGGGGGGGGGGGGGGGGGGAGCCCCGGGGAGGGGGGGGTGGGGG